TGAATGCATGTGACTATAACAAATACATATTTATGAACAAAATTATTTTCAATAACTAAAACTTACAATGAAATTATGTAAATTAAAATAACAAACTTACTCAGTACCAAAGGTTTTTGTTTTACCTTAAAATAATTACAAAATTTCCCACACAATGTTTGAACATCCTCACGCAACACATACACACTAATCCTCCATTACATATTACAAACACAACAAAGGACGCGATAACAGAGGCTCGTGAAGAGGCCTATTGCCTCTCACGCTGAGAGGTACTCGACCAAAGGGCCCCTGAGATGTGCCTCATTGTTCCTTAGTGGCCTATTGTGGTGCTTAATCGATAGTCTCGTGCAGTGTTATCGTTTCATTGTATTGTTTCGGAAGGGTTAAAAAATACAAGCATGAAAAAAAAATGTATAACATTCTACCTAGTTCGCTAAAGTCTGTGAGAATCAGACTAAATAGCTTTTAATAGCAAACGTATTATTAGTTATTTAAGTTGGTTATTATTAGCTCTGCAATAAAAGAAAAACGTAATTTATATTTTTTATGTAAATATTAAATTCATTTTCAGCGGCTTTATGTTTAGCGAACTTAATTTGTTGATGCTAATGGAATTAATAAGCTGAAACATCGTTAATACGAACTTCAATTCCTCCCGCACAACCGTCAATCAAAGCGGCAAGCGTGGCTTAACTCGTATACGTTCATAGCCTTATAATTGGGTTATTGAGTGAAAATATATTTAAGTGCCTTTAAACTGCTCTTTTATAACAATATATCGATAGATCAACAGTGCTATTCTATAATTTGTGACCTTAAAATGCAGCGTATTTTCTTTTTTTCTTTTATAACAATGCTGCCTACCGTTTCATACTCTCCACAAGCCTCGTTTGAAGAAGGACATGTCATAGCGCTCCAACACCGTGGAGGGGAGCTCATTCCATAGCCGGATGGTACGTGGCAAAAAAGATCTCTGGAAACGCAATGTGGATGAACGTAGTGGCTCAAGGTAGTATGGATGAACTCTACTCTGGTGGCGGGCGGTCCGATGGTAAAAGCAAGATGTCGGTATCATCTCAAACAATTCCTCAGAGCAGTACTGGCAGTACTATTCTATGCTTTGTGATTACGATGTATCATTGTTATACTCACTACTGTTCACCATGACTATTCACTAAAACTCCTCATGTACAAGCTACTGTTCAATGCTATAAATTGGACACACAAAAACTCAACTTTTCTAAGACTAATACTCGATGTCCTACTGTAATGCTATTTATAATTTCAAAGCATCCAGTGGCGAACATCTCCTCGGCATTCTTAATCACGATTTAATTATGCGTGACTCTTGGCTTAGACGAGAAGGGGCCGACTCGACGATTACTCCGTGTTATTCTTATTAACACCCTTTCGACTCTCGACAAGGTACTGAATATTCATTTCCTGTCATTCATTAAAATGTAATTACGGAACTTTTGTTATTTTGATTGGAATTTAATTCTGGTATCTTGTATGATGGTTTTAATTTACTCAACTCTCCTTTTACTGTCTCAAAATTATAAAAAGCAGATAAGATTTTTATAGGAACCTTTGTATTTATTAATTTAGTACCACTATCGTATAGGGTTATCATGTATCCTTTAAACTGGCTTCGTAGATGTGATCTAATAACCACTTAAAAATTAATAGATGAGCAAATAAAAATAGGTAAACAAAAAACAAAAAAACACCACATGTTTTTGCACCATTTCAGGTCCCTCAAAAAAGTCCCAGTGACTCTTGGATCACAGCATACAATAAAACGAAAACAAATTGCACTTAAAATGTACCGGGAGGGCACGCGCTTTCATCTCGAATTTATTCTGATGGCCCCTTAAATCCTTATTTATATGATAACGCCATAATTTTTGGAATAGCCCTACTTAGAACTCGCGAAGCGTTTTCTTAGTGGGCTTCCTTTCTGACAGATGTTTGTACTGGCGAGATCAAAAGTTTCAAAGAAATTTTTGATTTCTATATAAAATAAATTATAATAAATTCGGAAAAAAACAGATACGAACGTTCGCTTTTTACGAATTGGGCGAACAAAACAAAATTTAATGATTGATTGTCTCAAGGGGGAATCAAAAAGGTCGTATGCTCATCTTCATTTATAATAATTTAAATAATAAAAATTATTACTATTGTCATTCCTTCGGGACTTTAGTATAAATTCTTTAGAAGGATCAGTTTGAAACCAAAAACAATGAATATAACGTGAAATACAAGTACAATTTGATTTTAAATTAATGGTGGATGTTTGAAGATCATAAAAATAACCACATTGATGTATATGATACGATGATATATTTCAGTATTGGCTAATAAGATGCCTTCAAGTGAGTCAAAAAGATACAAGAAGACAATAAGGAGGAAGGAGTAACTTATAATACCAGGAAGGAATAAGGTCGAAGGATAATAAAGTAAGAAATAAGTAGTTGGATACATTTAACATTTACACAATTTATTGAATTATTTTATTATTTTTCTTCTACTGTTTGATCTTAAGTATACATTAACTGGACTAGATTTAGGCGTAATAAATTTGTAACTAAGATACAATAAAATCTTGCAGGACTATTATAAATTATTATATTTATTGAACAAACTAATTAGCTCATGTAAGTGAATACCCTGTTCCTAATTCAGAAATTTCAATATAAAGGGCACATTACCAACAAAAAGAATTGCTAAGCTCCGAAATGAAAACTTCCACCTTTTTATTTTCATTAACTCCCAAATATCCAATATAATCTACGATGTTATTTGCCGACAGTACACGGGTGCGATGCTTAAAAAAAACACAACGTACAACGAACCCAAAAAGTTTAGCGGTACAGAGGCACAAGTGCTGTACTGTGTTATCACGTCGTTAAATAAAAATAATGTCCGCCCTGTGCCGCCCATTGTATTTGCCTGCTTTTAAAATTTATTTCCCGTACATGAGGCTTTTTTGTAGGCCCCACGATTTGTAGTTTCTGAGTTATGTAAGTGTATTGAAATCGCTAGAAAAATTCAAGTTTAAAATTTCGGAGACAAGTAAAAGCATACGAGCTTAAAGATTGCATAACGATGAGGCAGAACGGGTCGTGATTTTGTTCGCGTGGGTGCCGCAATTGTGCCTATTTCAGTCGCAAAACAGCTAACGACCCGTGTCCTGAATTACTTTTTGGCTTTAGCTCCAGTGTGATAAGGTTGGATCATTTTATAATTTCACTTGTACAAGTACTTTGGAATTTAGTATTTTAAGGAAGAGTTTTGGAATGCCACAAGTGGCATTCCAAAATTAAGTTGTAGCTCCACGCTTCAGACCATAATAAATAAATGTTTCACAATGAGGATAGCATGATACGCCATGCTACTTCATCATCTACTCATCATCATCATCACTGTCAGCCCACAGTCGTCCACTGCTGGATATTGAAGTCCAGTATCCTAACGGCCACGACGACTTCCTATCCGTTAGGATAATGCGTTTCGGTTTGAAGGGTGGGGCAGCCGTTGTAACTATACTTAAGACCTTAGAACTTATATCTCAAGGTGGGTGGCGCATTTACGGTGTGGATGTCTATGGGTTCCAGTAACCACTTAACACCAGGGGTGAGCTGGTAGGCAGCGGCTTGGCTCTGCCCCTGGCATTGCTGAAGTCCATGGGCGATGGTAACCACTCACCATCAGGTGGGCCGTATGCCCGTCTGCCTACAAAGGCAATAAAAAATAAAAAAAAAAGCTCGTCTACCGATCTAAGCAATAAAAAAAAAAACATTGGCCTCTCCTCCCAATCCACACCACTGAGTCCGGTCTTCGGCTCTCCTCACACACTTGGGATGTGTAGGAATGACATACCATCTATTCACTCCAATTCAACCTCACCTACCCGCGGTCTTCCTGCTTAGTAACGAACGAGGCTCTGGCGACCGGCTGATAGTGGTATAGCACAGTCCAAACTTGGCACAACTAAAAAATCTCATCACTGATAGGCAGCAGTGTCAGTGAGCTGGGTCTCAGCGATCTCTAACACGCCTACCCAGCGTGGAGATTATGGGCATTTCCTCCATAAAAGACACACAATTATTTACTGAAAAATATAAACCCCAAAAAACGATGAACTTCTAAAAGAACAAAACCAACATGAAGCATTTGTTTTCATCTAAAACAGAATTGATTACGGTTCCTTTAAAATGTTCGCAATCCATTTAATGTGCGAAAAACGGGTGTAAAAAGCCCAAGTCTCGCACTTGGTGCCACCTGGCGAGTCGAACTTTTGATAAAGCTCTCGTTGACCGAACAGATTGGTCGGGTTGAGCTTTTGAATCACTTTTTCATGTTCTTAGGTTAACTAACGTTTTTTGATATTACACCTTGTTCGCCTTCGTCATTAATTGTATTTATTAGCATAGATGAAATATGAGTTTCTCACTCACCAGATGCTCAGTGGTGACCGAAGCGCCCAAAAACCATAACATATTAACTTTATTGTATTGTGCTGGGTATTAGTGTAAATAAGAGTCAAGAAGTCATTTAGTTCAGAAATTACTTTATTTTTCACAACATTTTTTCGTCCATGGTTATCCATGATTTAAATTATAACCTGATTTAAGGCATGAGCATTTATCCGCGTTATTAAATTCAAGAAATATTTTGATCTGATTATAATTATAATTAATTAATTTGATCTGATTAAATTATAATTAAAACTAGTGTGTCTAAAAATCTCGAGTGTAGGTCATACATGTGGCAGACAGACTCAAGAAATCCTTAGTCTATTCGTCCCCGGGTATAACTGTAAAAATGCAGTTACACTCGGCCTAGAAAAATTTACAGTCAATTTATGACGATTCAAAGTTGCCTGAAAAGGTCTTCTTGAATAAAAAAAACATTTAGATTTTCACTTGCCACTATTTCATTGATTTTATCTCTTCCTTTCTTACAGAATTTGAGTAAATTTGAAATTTTTTTTATATAAATATTTGCACTTGATAGTTGAGCCCTTCACCGCGTTCACTTTTGATTTTGATGTTCGTAAAACTGAAACCAACGCCTCCTGAAGTAATTGTGGGCTTAGCGTTACCGCCGTCCAGGTCTATTGCTGATATGCCCTGGAATAGATTATACATTAAAATTATGGTACCGTCTCATTTTGAACACCTCTTACTGTTATCTGTGTATTAAATATTTCGGTTTGTGTAATTTGAACTCCGCCGATTCTTTTGACAAATGAACAAGGTTGATGTTTTTATCTCTTTGGATGAATAATACTAGCTTTTCTTATTTAGTCTTCATAGATAAACTCCCATAGGGCCCACATTATTAGTGATCTACACAGATCCTGAATACGAGTATTGCAGGGGCACAATCAAACCATTATGACTATGCGAGGTTTTATTTCTGAACCGGATTCTACATACCAAAATAGATATCTGGAAACGCAATGTGAATGAACGCAGTGGGTGGTGTTGCGTTAAAAATAAAATCATTATAAAGGTAAGTGTTATAACATTACTTTAATATTTATTTATTTTTAATAACTAATATTTCAAATTACAGATTACAGCTCGAGCAGAGGAACGCTTCTAATAAACTAAGCATTTATTATTAAACTAGCGGCCCACTCCGGCTTTGCTCGGGTCTTTAACAAAAATTTCATCTCATTCATTCATTTCTTCATTTCAATTGGGTTATATTATATAGGAGTTTTAGTAAGGATCCCTAATTTTTTTCAAAAAGATTCAGCTTATGTCACTCGGTAATAGTGTAGCTTCCAAGCAGTGAAATAATTTTTCAAATCGGTTCTGTAGTTTCGGAGCCTATTCAGTACAAACAAACAAACAAATCTTTCCTCTTTATAATATTAGTATAGATAATTATAACACAAACTGTACCAAAATCGGTACGAGCGTAATCTAAGCCTGCGACAGTGATGTGAGCACTCATAAACCCATGTAAACCTTGCATCATATAACTTACCCGTATCACTCTTGTGTCATTCCGACTGTAAAAAACATTCTTAGTTCGAACTTTTAGAGGCACCGCGTTTCTCTTTACATTTTTGACGTAAGCCAACTCATTATTTACGCTAACACCGACTTGTAAATCCGTTGCCGAAATTATAGTCAAAATTAATAATAATACCGCACAAGATATCAACTTGAAAGATGTCATGTCTCCTGTGTTCGCGGCTCAGAAATACTCTTATTAAGATTACAGATGCTATCGATAGCGTCCGATAAAGTAATACTTGTGATAAAACTCTTTGTCTCGTATTGTTGCGTAACAAATTTGAGTCATCAATTTTTCGATAAGACTGTTTGTGTCGTTCTGTTGTGCAATTCGGTTTGGGTCATAATTATCCCGCATACAGACATATCGATGTAGCCCGTAGCTCTTGTCCAGTGATAGGAGCGATACCCAAATCTGTTATGAAGCACAACTATTTGACATAGTGTGAGCTGTCATATCATTTTTTTGTAGAGACAGTCAACATTTTACGAGCTAATTTGGCATATCATCTCAGTGCTTCCGATACTGAATGATACATTAACGCTAACCTTGAATACAGCCACATAACAAAATCAATAGTAATATATGATCACAAATATCTTTCTCATTTCATACTAGACATAAAGCGTAATGTATGTAATACGCAGACTATCGTTGTGATGTACCATAAAAATACTTCGATAGATTCCATAATAATTATAATTTCAGTGTGCTTAGTGCGAGTTTTTTAACGTTCTCGATAGCGTAAAAGTTAGCTCATATTCGTATAGGAATCGTTTGCGCACGTTTGCCGCTAGGGGCGCTGTTCCAACTGCGTACTTAATTGGCTTAACTTTTACGCTGTCGAGAACGTTAAGAAACTCGCACTAGGCACAGAGGTCTCGTCCAAAAGTTTTGATACCAACCTGCCAGCCCACAATACATGCAGCTGAACAACAGATAAACTTTAAGCTCTATTATAATTAATATCATAAAACAGTACAACGCTAACGTTCCGAGAACTTACCCACCAATGAAGGGGCCATACCAAAACTAATTAGCTTAGTTTAAAATAAACAGGGCGCACCGTAAACGGAATGAATATTTTATCGGACGTATCAAAGTGTGACGGACCCAATATCGAACGGAACAAAGGCTTACAAGAGTTTAGGACACGCCCGCCGCGCTGCATATTCAACGCGGGACAAAGTCAACACAATAGGCCAGGAGTGCGACATATTAATCTTAACGTTGTATGCGTAAATTTCACTGGTGGTACTACGATATTATCTTCGGTTTTCGTGAGTCCTAGATTTAATTAGAGCTACTTTTATGGTTTAAATATGAACGACGAGGTACGTGACCATTAAAACTGTATATAAAGTGTTCGAAATATCATCAGCCCACAGTCGTTCACTGTTGAACATAGGCCTCCCAATCCACACCATTGAGCCTGGCCTTTGACTCTCCTCATCCATGTTTTTTTTTATTACCCTTGTAGGCAGACGAGCACACGGCCCACCTGATGGTGAGTGGTTACCGTCGCCCATGCACTTCAGCAATGCCAGGATTAGAGCCAAGCCGCTGCCTACCGCTTAATACTCTCCACAAGCCTCGTTTGCCATCTCTTGGAGGTCATCTTCGGAGGTAATTGCGCCACTTAGCCTGACACGGAGATAATACGATATAACTAAATAGGATGGGCAATGATAGCCCGGAATAGATGCAATTATTACTACCTTTTAATTTTGATTTCCTGAACTCAGCGAAATAAGTAAGCAGCTAATTCCATCCCCAGCTCCTGGTGTAGCTGAAAATCACGCACCAGCGCACCGTGTCCGACACACAAGCGCACGATCACCTACCTACCATTTGCATATACCTCTCATTACAAAAGTAATTTATTGATGGCTTTAATAACGTTTATCCCATCACAATTTGCGATCACATTTGCATATTAACGGGTATTACTGGCAGATTAAATACGATGTATTCATACATTAAAGATGCAACCTACATACTTCATATTAAGTAAATTAAAAATATTTTATAATTCTTTCATTTCTTCTAAAAATATATACGCTTAGATAAAATTTGAATTATAATAAAAAAATATCACAATTCGCTCAAGTAATACGCTGTTAAAAAAAAATTAATGCCACTTTTGTGATTAAATTGATTTATTGAGACTCCTAACCTCGATCATATGAATGATTCCACCTCAACGTCACTACAATTTGTTGGCCTAATGTGATCATACGCTCGTAACGATAAAAGAGCCTTTATCTTTATTAAAAGTTCATGTATCCCCTATCTCCATCACTCTGCTACTGCCTATCCGTGACTCTCCGCTGATCGCTGTTCATATATATTATAACTTTTTAACATCCAACCCCTATCCTAATAACCACAGGTTCAAAGTCCGTATGTTAGAGTACCACCGACTAGCCTATATCTGCAGTGAAAAAATAATGTTTTCCGTTTGAGAGAAGGGTGAGAGAGTCAATAGAGAGTATTTCCACATAAATAAATATTTAAATCTTGACTCAAGTTCAATTTCTGGTGATCGTAGACTCGTGAGATTATTTTCCTGTTGATTTTTTATGCGTCGTAACAATATAATACAATAACATTCATGATAATCTGAACACTAAATAAATCGTGGAGCGGACACCGCGTAATCACAATTTAGTAAAGAGTCAATTAAGTGGGCACTTAGTTCGTGAACTGCCACTTAACATCGTCGTAAACAGTCACCGGCTTCGTATCCTCGCTCTATCCTTGTCTATTACACAGGGTGTGTGTCTTTGAATATACATATTATATTTCTTACAATTTGTTCATGTAAAAATCGTTATACGCCAAACAAATTGATTTAAAACATATAAAATTTTCATTTATGGTAATGATAATAAAATATATGCGGTTGTTCGGAATTTGTATATATATATAAATGAATCGGAAGATGTCGTTAGCGAGATTCGGGAATTTGTCAAATATCTTGTGTTTTATAATAGTCATTAGTACTCCTAATCCTACCACGATTCATTGCCAAAAGTACTTCAGTATGCTTAGTGCGAATTTTTAACGTTCTCGATATCGTAAAAGTTAACTCAAATTTATACGCAGCTGGAACACCAGCGGCCGTCCGGGCGATGCCACTGGTGTTCCGGGATACCCTGCTGGGCCAGAACCAGCCTGCCGCGTGCCGGGTCGGAACGCGATACACCGCCGACCGGGTTGCTCTTCCACAGTATGTTCGGCAACGACAGCGACGACGAAAATGCGGACCGCATCGCAGTCCGCAGCCGCCAACGCGCCGTCCCGTCCTCCTGGGGCCAGCGCGCTAAAGTGACGGTAGCGTGCGGCGCAGCCTCAACCCCCTTAGGTCGCCCCGTGACCATCACCGGGAGGAGACTGCCGGTCTGAAGTTGGACAAACGCTCTCCTCCGACCCCCGGCTCGGCGGCGGGGGCACGGCACCGAGAGGGAAGAAGAGCTCTTCCTCTCCCGTTCCGCCACCTCCTTCTGCGAGTCCACCATCTCGCAGAAGTCGAGCATCGCCTGCCAGGACTCGTCGCTGCCGAGCATCGTAGCCACGACGGTCGGAAGCGACAAGTCCGGTCCTATATTTGCAACGAGGACGCGGCGCTACTCCGCAAAAGCGGTGCAGTACGCGAGCGCGTGCTCCATCGTGTCCTCGTTGCAGCCACTGCAGTGGTGGCACTTCGGCGTCGGCTCCCTCCGGGCGACGAGGTGCAGGTAGCGACCGAAACAGCCGTGTCCCGTGAGCACCTGCGTCGCTCGGAAGGTGAGACGTCCTCGGTCGCGATTCGATCCGCGATTCCAGTCCGATAGGACCGGGCGGATCGCCTCGACGGTCCGTCGCCCGTAGGAGGGGGGCTGTTCCAACTGCATACAAATTTGAGTTAACTTTTACGCTATCGAGAACGTTTAGCACACAGTATTAAAGTACTCAGAGAACGCTGCTTCCTGATCTAGGGTGAATTCATTGGTTACCAATAACAGCAGCCTCATTTCTATAAAGTTTGGTGATGATATAGCGCCAGACAGACCTAGGCTTTTAGACTCATCTGCATATCGAGACAAAAATGTCGTGTACTATTTTAAATAAATATAAAATGTAAAACAACAGCTTGTACGCAAAGTGACAAAATGTAGCAAGGAGTCACGCCGGTCACGAAGACATTATGGTAGCAATCAAACGCTCGTTAGCGCAAACCGGTCGTTGATGGTTAAGTGATATAGTACCGGACTAACTTAAGCGATAGATTCAAGGTTAGATGGGGGTGGATTGAGGGAAGTCGTCTTCGTTTATTTGCAACACTTAATGCGTATGTACTTGGCTGGTTTATTTATTGTTCACCTTTATATATTTGTTAGCCGTAAGGTTGGTAGCGTGCTGTAATCAGCCTCTTTTAACTTGAGGCACTAGACTCTTGGTGGCTTTATAGTTTGAGACAGTGGATTAGAGAAAACCTTTATTGCTGATTTTGTGATTTTCCGGGCATAGTTTCATGGTGCTGAATGTGATAGCTTCCACAATTTAATTTTCTCATCTTAATAACTAACATCGAAAAAGGTCAATAAAATATCTCAATGGCTGATACAATTATTCACTGTATATATCGAGGGGTGAAAGGCTAATTGGTTTAAGCAACATTTTTGCAACTTTACAGGAGAGCCATTCAAATTAAATTTGGAAAATATCATAACAAAAAAACTTAATCAGCTATTCATACGGGGTAAATTTAATTGAAGTTCAATTAAAAACATCGAATCGTTGATACTGTAACGCCATCTGTCGCCGAATAGCCAAACGAATATCGAAGGATCTAGTAGCATCTAGAACGCTCGAGAAGTACAACGCCATCTATTGTCAGGTAGCGGAAACACACATCGAAGGTATTCGACTTGTGAGGAATGTTCTCGATGATTCTATGGATGTCGTATCGACCATAAAAGCGTTGTAGAGATGGCACGCAGCTAGTAATCGGAACTACTCGAAGCGAAATAGCGAACGGATCACCTTTAGCGAAGCGGAAGAAACGAATTAATACCAAATTAAACGGGCCTTTAGTTACAAAGATAAATGTCGCGTATTAAGCGAGATGTCACTTAAACCAAATAACCTTTCACTTCGCTATATAATTCCAAATACCA